GGATCAGGACCAGGATCAGGATCAGGACCAGGATCAGGATCAGGATCAGGACCTGGATTGGGATTGGGATCAGGACCGGGATCAGGACCAGGATCAGGATCAGGATTAGGATTGGGATCAGGATTAGGATTGGGATCAGGATTGGGATCAGCACCAGGATCAGGATCAGGACCAGGACCAGGACCAGGATCAGGATCAGGACCTGGATTGGGATCGGGATCACGGTCAGGATCAGGATCAGAATTATTTTATATTTTACAAAATCTATGCTATTTGTATTTTGAATATTTTTTTAATTTATTTTTTAAATTATATATTATTATATTATTATTTACATACTGTTTATTAATTTATAATTATTATTTTTTTATTACAAATTAAATTTTATTTTAAAAAATTTCTCCGGAGGTTTCCCAGCTTGGATTTTGTGCTCCCTCACTTTTTTAACCCTTGGGTGAAAATCTGGGATGGATGATGGTTTGGGGAATTATTCTGGAATGTTCTGGAATGATCCTGGAATGTCCTGGAATGTTCTGGAATGTTCTGGAATGTTCCTCCTCCCTGGCAGCCCTGTTTTGGGGGATGATTCTGGAATGTCCTGGAATGTTCTGGAATGTTCTGGAATGTCCTGGAATGTTCTGGAATGATCCTGGAATGTCCTGGAATGTTCTGGAATGTTCCTCCTCCCTGGCAGCCCTGTTTTGGGGGATGATTCTGGAATGTCCTGGAATGTTCTGGAATGTTCCTTCCCTGGCAGCCCTGTTTTGGGGGATGATTCTGGAATGTCCTGGAATGTTCTGGAATGTCCTGGAATGTCCTGGAACGTTCTGGAATGTTCTGGGATGTTCTGGAATGTTCCTTCCCTGGCAGCCCTGTTTTGGGGGATGATTCTGGAATGTCCTGGAATGTTCTGGAATGTTCTGGAATGTCCTGGAATGTCCTGGAATGTCCTGGAATGTTCCTTCCCTGGCAGCCCTGTTACCTGCGGGATTGGGAGATGCAGGTGCACTTCAAGATCCACGGGCAAGGCAAGAAGAACCTGAACGGGGACGGTTTCGCCATCTGGTACACCAAGGACAGGATGCAGCCGGGTAAAGGGCGCGGGGACAGGGCTTGGGGACACCTGGGACACCTGGGACAGCTGGGACAGGGCTTGGGGACACCTGGGACAGCTGGGACAGGGCTTGGGGACACCTGGGACACCTGGGACAGCTGGGACAGGGTTTGGGGACACCTGGGACACCTGGGACAGCTGGGACAGGGTTTGGGGACACCTGGGACAGCTGGGACAGCTGGGGCAGGGTTTGGGGACACCTGGGACAGGGTTTGGGGACATCTGGGACACCTGGGACAGCTGGGGCAGGGTTTGAGGACATCTGGGACAGGGTTTGGGGACATCTGGGACACCTGGGACAGCTGGGACAGGGTTTGGGGACACCTGGGACACCTGGGACAGCTGGGACAGGGTTTGGGGACACCTGGGACACCTGGGACACCTGGGACAGGGCTTGGGGACACCTGGGACACCTGAGACACCTGGGACAGGGCTTGGGGACACCTGAGACACCTGGGACACCTGGGACAGGGCTTGGGGACACCTGGGACACCTGAGACACCTGGGACAGGGCTTGGGGACACCTGAGACACCTGGGACACCTCGTCCAGGGTTTGGGGACACCTGGACTCCGAGAATTCCCCCAGGGATGTCACTCTCCGATCCTCAGGACATTCCCAACCCGTTCCCAAAAACTCCACCAAAACCCTTTTCCCTTCCCAGCCTCATCCCGGCTCTCCTTTTCCCTTCCAGGACCCGTTTTCGGGAGCAAGGACAACTTCCTGGGGCTGGGAGTGTTCGTGGACACCTATCCCAACGAGGAGAAGCAGCAGGAGGTGAGGCACGGACTCTTCATCCTCCTCCTCCTCCTCCTCCTC